CTGACAGCATTCTGTAGTGATGACTGACAGCATCCTGAAGTGATGACTGACAGATCCTTAGTGATGAACTGACATCATCCTGTAGTGATGATGACAGCATCCTGTAGTGATGACTGACAGCATCCTGTAGTGATGACTGACAGCATCCTGTAGTGATGACTGACAGCATCCTGTTTTGTGATGACTGACAGCATCCTGTAGTGATAACTGACAGTATCCTGTAGTGATGACTGACAGTATCCTGTAGTGATGACTGCCAGCATCCTGTAGTGATAACTGACAGTATCCTGTAGTGATGACTGACAGCATCCTGTAGTGATGACTGACAGCATCCTGTAGTGATGACTGACAGCATCCTGTAGTGATGACTGACAGCATCCTGTAGTGATGACTGACAGCATCCTGTAGTGATAACTGACAGCATCCTGTAGTGATGACTGACAGCATCCTGTAGTGATAACTGACAGCATCCTGTAGTGATGACTGACAGCATCCTGTAGTGATGACTGACAGTATCCTGTAGTGATGACTGACAGCATCCTGTAGTGATGACTGACAGCATCCTGTAGTGATGACTGACAGCATCCTGTAGTGATGACTGACAGCATCCTGTAGTGATGACTGACAGCATCCTGTAGTGATGACTGACAGCATCCTGTAGTGATGACTGACAGCATCCTGTAGTGATGATTGACAGCATCCTGTAGTGATGACTGACAGCATCCTGTAGTGATGACTGACAGCATCCTGTAGTGATGACTGACAGCATCCTGTAGTGATGACTGACAGCATCCTGTAAGTGATGACTGACAGCATCCTGTGTGATGACTGACAGCATCCTGTAGTGATGACTGACAGCATCCTGTAGTGATGACTGACAGCATCCTGTAGTGATGACTGACAGCATCCTGTAGTGATGACTGACAGCATCCTGTAGTGATGACTGACAGCATCCTGTAGTGATGACTGACAGTATCCTGTAGTGATGAATGATAGTATCCTTTAGTGATGATCAAAAGCATCCTGTAGTGATGACTGACAGCATCCTGTAGTGATGACTGATAGCATCCTGTAGTGATGATTGACAGCATCCTGTAGTGATAAATGACAGCATCCTGTAGTGATGACTGACAGCATCCTGTAGTGATAACTGACAGCATCCTGTAGTGATGACTGACAGCATCCTGTAGTGATGACTGACAGCATCCTGTAGTGATGACTGATAGCATCCTGTAGTGATGATTGACAGCATCCTGTAGTGATGACTGATAGCATCCTGTAGTGATGATTGACAGCATCCTGTAGTGATGACTGACAGCATCCTGTAGTGATGACTGATAGCATCCTGTAGTGATAACTGACAGCATCCTGTAGTGATGACTGACAGCATCCTGTAGTGATGACTGACAGCATCCTGTAGTGATGACTGACAGCATCCTGTAGTGATGACTGACAGCATCTTGTAGTGATAACTGACAGCATCCTGTAGTGATGAATGACAGCATCCTGTAGTGATGACTGACAGCATCCTGTAGTGATAACTGACAGCATCCTGTAGTGATGAATGACAGCATCCTGTAGTGATGAATGACAGCATCCTGTAGTGATGAATGACAGCATCCTGTAGTGATGACTGACAGCATCCTGTAGTGATGACTGACAACTGTAGTGATGTTTAATACTGAACAATTTACTGCAGTGATTTTGAGCACATAACAGTTTACTGTAGTGATGTGGAGTGTAAAATCCTTAAACGGTCCAAACGTATATGTACACATTCTCTCATGTAGCGTCCCAAACGTATATATATATGTTTCATTTGTCATTCATTCAACTTTGGTACGATATGCCTGAGTCACCTACACATGAGAGAATGGGTGTGCGCACTCAGTGTGTCTGCCATATAAAAAAAATGGGGACACCTGGGTACTACATGCTCTTTTTTTCCTAAAAAAAATCAATTTTTGGTTTCTCAAAATATTCAGGGTGCTGTGCGAGAGAATGTATATATACGTTTGGACCGTTTAAGGGTTAGCAGTTTACTGTAGTGATGTAAAGTACATAACACTGTACTATAGTGATGTAGAGTACTGAATAGTTTACTGTAATGATGTGGAGTGCTGAATACTTTACTGTAGTGATGTAAAATACTGAATAGTTTACCGAAGTGATGTGGAATACTTAACAATTTACTGTAGTGTATTATTATTTTTTATATAAAAGAAGCACTAAACCCACTAGGGCACACAGTGGTTCAGGACAGAGGGTGTTGGTGCAGCAGAAAATAGCCAGGGGTGGAGAGGATAACAGAGGTTGAGTTAGAATGGGCTGTCAGAAGTGCTAAAGGAAGTATTATCAAAGTTTGTTTAATAAATCTGTTGCTGTCTAAAAGCAAGGGTCACCCCGATCCATAAAGGAGGAGACCACACAGACTTGAATAACTATAGGCCAATATCCAACTTACACCCTCTCTCTAAAATCTTTGAAAAATTAATCCATAAGCATATCTATTCCTACCTCATCTCTCACAACATACTCAACCTCTGTCAATTTGGGTTCAGGCCTAATAAAAATACTAATGATACTATTATCCACATGCTGGAACATATTTATACAGCAATAGAGAAAAAAGAAGTCCCACTGGGGATCTTCATTGACTTACGTAAAGCTTTCGATACAGTTGACGACGACTTGCTCCACATAAAATTGTCACACTCTGGTATAAGAGGGCACTCCCTCAACTACCTAAAGTCATACCTCAGCAACAAAAGCCAATATGTGAACACAAATGGGGCAAACTCTTCCGCACAGCCAATTACAGTTGGTGTCCCACAGGGAAGTGTCCTAGGCCCTCTTCTCTTTCTCATATACATAAATGACCTACCAAATGCATCGCAACTACTCAAACCCACACTATTTGCAGATGACACTACATACGTCTACTCTCACCCGAGCCCAGTCATGCTAGCCAATGCTGTAAATACCGAATTACAGAAAATATCAACCTGGATGAGGACCAACAAACTTACTCTAAACATTGACAAAACCTACTACATTCAGTTTGGTAACAGCTACAGATGTGTCTCTAAACATAATGATAAATGGATTACCTATCAACATACTCACAGAGGGAAAATTCTCAGGAATCCACCTTGATAATAGATTCAAATTTCAAACACATATACAACAAATTTCCAAAAAAATTCCAAGACCGTAGGCATACTATCAAAGATACGGTACTATGTTCCACAGTCAGCCCTCCTGGCCCTATATCACTCTTATTTACCCCTATCTCACCTATGGAATTTGTGCATGGGGCTCAACAACAATAATCCATCTCAGACCACTAATCACCCAACAAAAGGCTGCAGTCAGAATGATAATAAATTCCCACTACAGACAACACACTCCACTAATATTCAAAACTCTAAACCTACTCACCATACAAAACATCCACACTTATTACTGCACCTACTACATACATAGAACACTTAACTCTGACATAAACCCTCCCCTCAAACATCTCCTTACCAACCTTAACAGAACACATGACCATAACACAAGACACAGATCATGATGTTCCTCGTGTCCATCTCACGCTATGTAAAAACTCAATGCACATAAAAGGCCAAAAATCTGGAATTCATAACCTGTGAATATAAAAGAAACACTGTCTGTTTATAAATTCAAGTCTCTTCTCAAAAATCACTTACTCACCCACAACTAAATAAATACTGAATAATTGTATCTCATAAATTGTATCTCATATATGTATCTCATTATTGTATCTCATAAATGTCAACCTGTGACCCAATCAAACTTTGTTATTATTTAACTTCATTACCTAACATAATACTCATTCTACTGATTACACAGCAACACAGTAAATGACCATATGACCTGTCTTTGTAATACTCATTTGTACTAAATTGTTATCTGTTTACAATAATTTTTGTACCACTGAATATATCATTGCTTAGTTAATCTTAAGTTAATTTTAAGCTGCCCATAATGTGCTGCATACAAGGGGCTTTGGTATGCTGCTCTTTAAAAATTGTATTCCTTGTACTTCTCTGTATCATGTTCAAATAATAAATAAATAAATAAAAAATAAATAGGAGAGAGAAGGTTACAGTTCGATCAAAGCCGGACCGAAATGTTATCAAAACTTGCTCTCTGAGTGCGTTATTTGTGTATTGCTCCAGTTATGGTATTGTGACTTTTTGTTTTTGATGACAAAAGACACAGTAAAGAATACAATATACAATGCAACTTTATTTCAACATTGTACAATGGACCCCAGGCTTACGATATTATTTCATTCCAGAAGTATGTTCAGGTGCCAGTACTGAACGAATTTGTTCCCATAAGGAATATTGTGAATTAGATTAGTCCATTTCAGACCCCCAAACATACACGTACAAACGCACTTACATAAATACACTTACATAATTGGTCGCATTGGGAGCTGATCGTAAAGCGGGGGTCCACTGTACTGCATAGTTTATATAGAAATGGGTGACAATTAAGACCATGTTTAAAGCCCATGGTTATGCACAGCATTTCAGGCGAGCTTAAGCCCAACTTAGGATTACAAGAGCATATCATTGTACATGTTTACAAAAAAATAATTAATTGGATTATAGTCTAGTAAGTTTACATCTTCTATTTTGTATATTAGATAATATAAGAGCGGGTGGCTGGTAATGGTGATTGTGACGGATAGAACTGAGATTATCTTGCCGTCATCATAATAATGGACAGGTCTATAATCAACAGACTTTGTTCTTTGTTTCCAAATCTGTTAGCCCAGCGGAGTTTGACCCATATTTCCATAGTATAAGTAAATTGAGGTCTAATAAATCAGTGGTTTACTGTATTTACAGTGGTTATCTCACTGCATTCAGAAAATTACTATTTAAGGTGCTGAATATATAGAGAAATAGTTTGATATGTTATAATTAGGAAGATATTTAATGCACAACTACTACTTTTTGCAGGTTTCTTAAGGCAGTATACCCTACAAGGACCTCCACATAATATAGCCCAAGTTAAGCAGTACATAACAAAAGATGCTTGGAATCAGATGAAGTTTGATCGTGCGTATGAACGGTTAGTACATCCTTTCCTTTCATGTACAAATTTTCCTCCGTGAGTCACCTTTACTGTTGACACTCCTTTGATGAGTTCCTAGAGTTTTTCTACTCCCAGAGCCTAGCCTAGGGCCAGATATATTCTGCCTCATTTTGAGTTACAGAATCTATATAGCTTTAAATGTTGTTTTAAATGGTTTAATATCAATGTAAGAAAAAATGATTGGATGTAAAAAGAACTTAGAGTTTTGGCAATCCACTGAGTATATTTTGAATGAGACTCCCACGTTAATTTTCAATTTATGAGTTATGTACCAAGCCTCAAAAAAGGGAAGGTAACATAAAATTAGAAATAAATGAAATTGATCATGATGCCCCGTAGCCTGGTGGCTGAAGTTCTCGCTTCACACGGTGATAGTCCAGGTTCAGCTCCTGGCGAGGGTAGAAACATTGGGCATGTTTTTTTTACACCAGTTGTCTATGTTCACCCATCAGTAAAATGGGTACTTGGGTGTTAGTGGACTAGTGTGGGTGGTGTCCTGGGTGTTAGTGGACTGGCGTGAGTGGCATCCTGGGTGTTAGTTGACTGGTGTGGGTGGCATCCTGGGTGTTAGTAGACTGGTGTGGGTGGCATCCTGGGTGTTAATGTACTGGTGTGGGTCATATCCTGGGACAAAATTGACCTAATTTGCTGGAAATGCTCAGCATAACAAGGGACTTTCTATATAGTAGTATGTCATTGACGTCAGCTATGGTCTGTATACCATGTACATGTACACCTTGTACATGTACTTGTATATCTTGTACATGCACTTGTATACATGTACTTGTATACCTTGTACATGTACTTATATACCTTGTACATGTACTTGTATACCTTGGACATGTACTTGTATACCTTGTACATGTACTTGTATACCTTGTACATGTACTTGTATACCTTGTACATGTACTTGTATACCTTGTACATGTACTTGTATAACCTTGTACAATGTACTTGTATACCTTGGACATGTACTTGTATACCTTGGACATGTACTTGTATACCTTGTACATGTACTTGTATACCTTGTACATGTACTTGTATACCTTGTACATGTACTTGTATACCTTGGACATGTACTTGTATACCTTGTACATGTACTTGTATACCTTGGACATGTACTGGTATACCTTGTACATGTACTTGTATACCTTGTACATGTACTTGTATACCTTGCACATGTACTTGTATACCTTGTATACATGTATACCTTGTACACCTTGTACATGTACTTGGAGAAATAAAGTTATTATATATTATATTAGTAAAAATATTGAATAATCAAAGAAAACTTCGGAGTTTGACTGTACGGTGTGTTGTACACACGAGAGAGAGAATTTTTGGGAGGTGGATGAGCTTTTCGTATTTAATTTTTTTTATTGCACTAATAACAGATGTTCTAGTCTTGTTGGACTCCTGATGGGTGGAATAATCAAATAGCCAGTTTTAAATGCTTCTTGTGGCTCTATCATCTACAGTATTTGATTAAGTAATTAATGTGATCAGACGCAGCTGTCTAAGCTTTATATAGATGGGCTTAGGGGTGGCTTTTTGGGGGTTGGTGGATTATTGGGAGATGTCAGCCCCTCCTTGACTTCCTTAGTGCCACCTTTGAGTATGAAACAATGTAAAAAATTTATTTTCCCTTAGTACAGTATCCTTAAACTAATTTCTTGTACTTTCTGACAGCTTTAGCACCAAAGAAGTGAAAATAGATGAGGTGGAGCTGACAGTACCCAGCAATATTGAAGCTTTCATTGAAGATCACCAGAATTCTCAGTTCATTCCTTGTAATGAGTCAAGAGCAGCGTATTATAACCTGAAGTATCTCAAGGATGAGACGCCATATGAAACACAGTAAGATTTTTTTCATATACATTTCTCACTATTACATAATAGATTTTTTGTTTATATTTCTTTAAGACATGTTGTCTTCCACAAGGGAGGGTGATCCCAAAAGAGAGGAAATGCATTCATCATTATTCATTCATACACCGACTTGCAAGAAGCATGCCGACATCACAGTTCAAATGACCTTCTGAACTGTAGCATCCTCACCCCTTCTTCAGAGTGCAGGTACTGTACTTCCCACTTCCAGATCTGTAATATCTTCGCCTCTTCTCCAGAGTACAGGTACTATACTTCCCACTTCCAGATCTGTAATATCTTCACCTCTTCTTCAGAGTGCAGGCACTGTACTTCCCACTTCCAGATCTGTAATATCTTCACCTCTTCTTCAGAGTGCAGGTACTGTACTTCCCACTTCCAGATCTGTAATATCTTCACCTCTTCTTCAGAGTACAGGCACTGTACTTCCCACTTCCAGATCTGTAATATCTTCACCTCTTCTTCAGAGTGCAGGCACTGTACTTCCCACTTCCAGATCTGTAATATCTTCACCTCTTCTTCAGAGTGCAGGTACTGTACTTCCCACTTCCAGATCTGTAATATCTTCACCTCTTCTTCAGAGTGCAGGCACTGTACTTCCCACTTCCAGATCTGTAATATCTTCACCTCTTCTTCAGAGTGCAGGCACTGTACTTCCCACTTCCAGATCTGTAATATCTTCACCTCTTCTTAAGAGTGCAGGCACTGTACTTCCCACTTCCAGATCTGTAATATCTTCACCTCTTCTTAAGAGTGCAGGCACTGTACTTCCCACTTCCAGATCTGTAATATCTTCACCTCTTCTTAAGAGTGCAGGCACTGTACTTCCCACTTCCAGATCTGTAATATCTTCACCTCTTCTTAAGAGTGCAGGCACTGTACTTCCCACTTCCAGATCTGTAATATCTTCACCTCTTCTTCAGAGTGCAGGCACTGTACTTCCCACTCCAGATCTGTAATATCTTCACCTCTTCTTAAGAGTGCAGGCACTGTACTTCCCACTTCCAGATCTGTAATATCTTCACCTCTTCTTAAGAGTGCAGGCACTGTACTTCCCACTTCCAGATCTGTAATATCTTCACCTCTTCTTAAGAGTGCAGGCACTGTACTTCCCACTTCCAGATCTGTAATATCTTCACCTCTTCTTCAGAGTGCAGGCACTGTACTTCCCACTTCCAGATCTGTAATATCTTCACCTCTTCTTCAGAGTGCAGGCACTGTACTTCCCACTTCCAGATCTGTAATATCTTCACCTCTTCTTAAGAGTGCAGGCACTGTACTTCCCACTTCCAGATCTGTAATATCTTCACCTCTTCTTAAGAGTGCAGGCACTGTACTTCCCACTTCCAGATCTGTAATATCTTCACCTCTTCTTAAGAGTGCAGGCACTGTACTTCCCACTTCCAGATCTGTAATATCTTCACCTCTTCTTCAGAGTGCAGGCACTGTACTTCCCACTTCCAGATCTGTAATATCTTCACCTCTTCTTCAGAGTGCAGGCACTGTATTTCCCACTTCCAGATCTGTAATATCTTCACCTCTTCTTAAGAGTACAGGCACTGTACTTCCCACTTCCAGATCTGTAATATCTTCACCTCTTCTTAAGAGTGCAGGCACTGTACTTCCCACTTCCAGATCTGTAATATCTTCACCTCTTCTTAAGAGTACAGGCACTGTACTTCCCACTTCCAGATCTGTAATATCTTCACCTCTTCTTAAGAGTGCAGGCACTGTACTTCCCACTTCCAGATCTGTAATATCTTCACCTCTTCTTAAGAGTACAGGCACTGTACTTCCCACTTCCAGATCTGTAATATCTTCACCTCTTCTTAAGAGTGCAGGCACTGTACTTCCCACTTCCAGATCTGTAATATCTTCACCTCTTCTTCAGAGTACAGGCACTGTACTTCCCACTTCCAGATCTGTAATATCTTCACCTCTTCTTCAGAGTGCAGGCACTGTACTTCCCACTTCCAGATCTGTAATATCTTCACCTCTTCTTCAGAGTGCGGGCACTGTACTTCCCACTTCCAGTCTGTAATATCTTCACCCTTCTTAGAGTGCGGCACTGTACTTCCCACTTCCAGATCTGTAATATCTTCACCTCTTCTTAAGAGTGCAGGCACTGTACTTCCCACTTCCAGATCTGTAATATCTTCACCTCTTCTTAAGAGTGCAGGCACTGTACTTCCCACTTCCAGAACTGTAACATCCTCACCCATCCTTCAGAACCCAGGCACTGTACTACCCACCTCCACAACCCAAGTCCAGCCAATTGATTTCCCTGAATCCCTTCATAAATGTTACCTTACCTACCTACCTGGAGGGTATTCCAGGGGTCACCTCCCCCCTGGTCCGGTCTATGACCATTCCTTACAGTAGTTCAGGGCCTAATCAACAAGAAAGTGGGTTGCAAGCAATGTAACTATGGTGAATAGAAACGAAATTGTTTTGTCATGATAGTAATAATAATGAGTAATTTTGTAGCCAACTAACTTTGTCCGCTGTTCCCCAATCAACTGACCCAGTACATTTTGTTCCATATTTCTGAAGTCCATTAAATCAGAGTCAGTTATTCTGAGGATTTAATTTAGCTACCTTTGTTATTCCACCATTAATCTCACCTCTGCGGTGTAGTGCTGAATGATACATATATGGATTCTGCACCTTCTATGAATATATAAATAATAATAATATTATTATTATTATTATTATTGACACTGGCCGATTCCCACCCAGGCAGGGTGGCCCGAAAAAGAAAAACTTTCACCATCATTCACTCCATCACTGTCTTGCCAGAAGGGTGCTTTACACTACAGTTTTTAAACTGCAACATAAACACCCCTCCTTCAGAGTGCCGGCACTGTAGTAATAGTAATAATAGTAATAGTAATAAAAATAATAATAATAATATAATAATAATAATACAGTGGACCCCCACATAACGATTACCTCCGAATGCGACCAATTATGTAAGTGTATTTATGTAAGTGCGTTTGTACCTGTATGTTTGGGGGTCTGAAATGGACTAATCTACTTCACAATATTTCTTATGGGAACAAATTTGGTCAGTACTGGCACCTGAACATACTTCTGGAGTGAAAAAATATCATTAACCGGGGGTCCACTGTATAGCCTCTCATCACTTAGCAACGTACTTCTGTAAATGCATTGCATTTCTCAGGTAAATATTTATGCATGTTATTATATTTATTTTTTTATTTCAGGTTTAAACATAAGGCTTGGAAATTACTTGCAAAAGCTAAAACTCTTATGGATCAGTTGAAAATTCCCTTCTGGTTGAGCAGCGGAACTCTACTTGGTAAGACTGAGTTGACTTCTTCATACGAGTCGACCATCACTCATCTGGCAGCGTTGGAACATTATATACCCATACCATTGGCATGGTAAATTACAGGAAACTGCAGTTTACCTGGAATGTAAACTTTTACCGATGACACTAGCCGAAATTATTGCAGGATTAGTGATGGAACCAGATTAGTGATGGCCAACCTGTATTATGTATTAATGATGGTAGAATTACCAACAATATGTTAGTAGATGAATGGTTCAGAGAACTGACATGTTGATAAATTAGACACATGTGCAACTCTTGGGTATCTTTATTGAGGAAACGTTTCGCCACACAGTGGCTTCATCAGTCCATACGTAGGAGAAACTTGAAGAACAGGAGAAGAATGAGGTAATCAGTCCCTCAACCTTGAGTCGATGTGTTCAGTCCATCAATCTTGAATAGAATACGGCATATCAGCGGAGAAGCAGCTTATAAACCGTATGGCAGGAGAGGTGCAGCAGTCATAGGTAGTGTCACATTTGTTCAATGTTGAAGTAGGTCGTGCCCAAGAATTAGGCAAGCGAAGAATTCCTAAGTATTAAGATCCCAAGAAGTTGCAGTGTCTGACAAATTCCTAAGTATTAAGATCCCAAGAAGTTGCAGTGTCTACAAATCTGTCAGACACTGCAACTTCTTGGGATCTTAATACTTAGGAATTCTTCGCTTGCCTAATTCTTGGGCACGACCTACTTCAACATTGAACAAATGTGACACTACCTATGACTGCTGCACCTCTCCTGCCATACGGTTTATAAGCTGCTTCTCCGCTGATATGCCGTATTCTATTCAAGATTGATGGACTGAACACATCGACTCAAGGTTGAGGGACTGATTACCTCATTCTTCTCCTGTTCTTCAAGTTTCTCCTACGTATGGACTGATGAAGCCACTGTGTGGCGAAACGTTTCCTCAATAAAGATACCCAAGAGTTGCACATGTGTCTAATTTATCAACATGTCGGTTCTCTGAACCATTCATCTACAAATCTGTCAGACACTGCAACTTCTTGGGATCTTAATACTCTATTTTCTCTATTCTGTTTATTACAATATACAGTACACTACTGTATAAACATTTACAAATATACCAGAAATGTTATAAATGGCACAAAGGTGACATTAAAACAATATCAAAGATGGTTGACACAAACTCACCACCATTATAGTATGATCCTCACTTAGCGACGAATTTGTTTACTGACGTGGTCTTAGGAATGGGGCTCCGTCGTTAAGTGAGGAGAGGCTGTAATGTGACATTTTATTGTGGAGAGTGAAACAATAAAATGTCACATTATTAGCACTTGCGTCCTTTATTTGACCTGTATTATCATTCGGTCTTCTATTGCTTCTCTCTTTACCATTTTGTTGTTGCCTCAATTAATGTATTTTTAATTTTTATGGACACAACTTATTTTTCAACATTTGGGTGTCTTGTGGAAATGTTTTGCCACAGTGGTTTCCTCAGTCCATTGCAGAGGAGAATGGTGAAAATCAGGAATTTGAGGTAATCAATCCATCAATCTTGATCAAATGATTACATCGACTCCAGACTGAGGGACTGATTTTCCCAAACTCCTGATATTTCAACTATTTTCCTCTGTATTAGACTGATGAAGCCACTGTGTGGCAAAACGTTTCAACAGTAAAGATACCCAAGCGTCACACGTGTCTAATTTTTCAACTTGTCGGTTCTCTGAACTCATTTATCTACAATTTTCAGTCATATGCATACTCTATACTCATCAAATATTTTTATAGAACATGCTAAAAGACTGTAATTTTCCTTTTTTAATTTGCAATTTAACCTATACTTACAAAAGTGTTCAGACAAAAGCATAAAGAGTTTGTGGATGTGTATAATATGCTGTTCCAGTGCTATTTTTGACAGTTTGTGTTTGTTTATGAAGGCTAGACAACATAAAGTAACTTTAGTGTGAATATAAGTTGTTGTTAGTTGATTCACTAGAGATAATTACCTGGTATGGCGAGACTGGGTTGAAACAACGGTGTTTGGAGACGTGTGTACAGGTAGCGTAGCTGGTAGGCCTCCCGTGGGTTCCTGCAGCAGTGATTGCTACTGGCTTGCCTCTGCTAGATTGAGTCCTTCAGCCTAGATGGAAGGTGTTCAGTCCCTCGGTCCTGATGGAAGGTGTTCAGTGCCTCAGTCTTGATGGAAGGTGTTTACTTTCTCAGTCTTGATGGAAGGTGTTCAGTCCCTCAGTCTTGATGGAAAGTGTTCAGTCCCTCAGTCTTGATGGAAAGTGTTCAGTCCCTCAGTCTTGATGGAAAGTGTTCAGTCCCTCAGTCTTGATGGAAGGTGTTCAGTCCCTCAGTCTTGATGGAAGGTGTTCAGTCCCTCAGTCTTGATGGAAGGTGTTCAGTCCCTCAGTCTTGATGGAAAGTGTTCAGTCCCTCAGTCTTGATGGAAGGTGTTCAGTCCCTCAGTCTTGATGGAAGGTGTTCAGTCCCTCAGTCTTGATGGAAGGTGTTCAGTCCCTCAGTCTTGATGGAAGGTGTTCAGTCCCTCAGTCTTGATGGAAGGTGTTCAGTCCCTCAGTCTTGATGGAAGGTGTTCAGTCCCTCAGTCTTGATGGAAGGTGTTCAGTCCCTCAGTCTTGATGGAAGGTGTTCAGTCCCTCAGTCTTGATGGAAAGTGTTCAGTCCCTCAGTCTTGATGGAAGGTGTTCAGTCCCTCAGTCTTGATGGAAGGTGTTCAGTCCCTCAGTCTTGATGGAAGGTGTTCAGTCCCTCAGTCTTGATGGAAGGTGTTCAGTCCCTCAGTCTTGATGGAAGGTGTTCAGTCCCTCAGTCTTGATGGAAAGTGTTCAGTCCCTCAGTCTTGATGGAAGGTGTTCAGTCCCTCAGTCTTGATGGAAGGTGTTCAGTCCCTCAGTCTTGATGGAAGGTGTTCAGTCCCTCAGTCTTGATGGAAGGTGTTCAGTCCCTCAGTCTTGATGGAAGGTGTTCAGTCCCTCAGTCTTGATGGAAGGTGTTCAGTCCCTCAGTCTTGATGGAAGGTGTTCAGTCCCTCAGTCTTGATGGAAGGTGTTCAGTCCCTCAGTCTTGATGGAAGGTGTTCAGTCCCTCAGTCTTGATGGAAGGTGTTCAGTCCCTCAGTCTTGATGGAAAGTGTTCAGTCCCTCAGTCTTGATGGAAAGTGTTCAGTCCCTCAGTCTTGATGGAAAGTGTTCAGTCCCTCAGTCTTGATGGAAAGTGTTCAGTCCCTCAGTCTTGATGGAAGGTGTTCAGTCCCTCAGTCTTGATGGAAAGTGTTCAGTCCCTCAGTCTTGATGGAAAGTGTTCAGTCCCTCAGTCTTGATGGAAAGTGTTCAGTCCCTCAGTCTTGATGGAAAGTGTTCAGTCCCTCAGTCTTGATGGAAAGTGTTCAGTCCCTCAGTCTTGATGGAAGGTGTTCAGTCCCTCAGTCTTGATGGAAAGTGTTCAGTCCCTCAGTCTTGATGGAAAGTGTTCAGTCCCTCAGTCTTGATGGAAAGTGTTCAGTCCCTCAGTCTTGATGGAAAGTGTTCAGTCCCTCAGTCTTGATGGAAAGTGTTCAGTCCCTCAGTCTTGATGGAAAGTGTTCAGTCCCTCAGTCTTGATGGAAAGTGTTCACTTAAGTAAAACATCCTTAAGTAAAACTAACTTTTACAAACAATACAATATATTTATTTGTTACAATACATTGTAATCTGAAATCTTCCTTTCAGGTTTTTACCGCCAGTGTGACATCATTTCCTGGGCTATGGATGTTGACATTGGTGTTTTTATCGAAAACTACACTCCTAATCTCATCACAGAATTTGAGAAAAAGGGCTTGAAGCTTTCTCACAAGTTTGGGAAAGTTCATGATAGTTTTGAACTATCTTTCAAAGAAGAAGACATCAAATTAGACATATTTTTCTTTTACACTGAAGGTGCTACCATGTGGAATGGTGGGACTCAAGCCAAAACTGGGAAAAAATTCAAGTAAGTTGATTGTGTTACTGGAGGGCCCCATTTTTATGGCTGTTATACATACACAAATAACCCGCACATAAAAGAGAGAAGCTTACGACGACATTTCGGTCCAATTTGGACCATTTACAAAGTCACAAAGTGTGACTTTGTAAATGGTCACGGTATTGTGCCTTTTTTTGTTATTTATGGCTGTTATGTTCCTGGTTTCCGACGATAAGCAAAAATCACCAGGTGGAAAAGAGCATTTTTTCAATATGGAATGCATCTAAAATGCCTGATAATGTGTTCAAACTATCATATGTTAAGCGCTCAATACAGCTAGTGTCAGTATGTTTCAAACTGCTAGCCGTGATGCCATGGGCTTTAAATACCGTCAGGTCAGCAGAGTTTGAACTGCTATTACGCCCCCACTGTGAGGGCATAGTGAGTCAGACACGTATGCTTAGGCAGTCAGGACATCAGACTGCAGGCTGGGCTTCCTACTTATATATTCCCAATATATTATAGGTATAACCATTTCAATGAGTTACATTTCAGTATCACTCCACTTAAAAACCCTTCATGACACTAGGCATAAATAACATACAAAAATAAAATAAATACACAGCCTGCCATAAATATTTTAAGCAAGTTACCATAAAAGTACTCTCATAATGTCTATTATTTTTTTCAGATATGTTTTTCCAGCATTTACTCTCTGCTGGACGGAGTTCCTTGATTTGAAGGTGAGAATTCCATGTCAAACAGAAGAATACATCCGAGCGAATTATGGATTATCCTGGTTTACACCTATGAAACAGTGGGATTGGAAAGCTAGTCCACCTAATGTACAAGAAAATGGCATGTGGCCAGAGTCTGAGTGGCCAGAAGTCATTGTTGTGAATGAGAGATGAACATATTCTACACAACATTGCTTCTGACATCATCGCTTCAAACCACAGAATGGGTGGGGTTTGAACCTGTGACGAGTGAGTTGTAATACTCCAGGCCAGTGCATAAGCCACCCATTCTGTGGTTTGCAATTGTATTATGATTTTATGAGTAATCATCTCTTCACTCTGAAAACTGCTTAAGAGCACTCGACTTTAACTTTCTAGAGAGAATAAGTGAGGATATGATTAAAATGTACAAAATGATAATAGGAATAAGTGGAAATATAAACAAGGTGCTACCTGGAGTATACCTGGAGGGGGTTTTGGGGGTCAGCATCTTCGACACTGTAAAATATGATAATAATAACAGGACTTGTAGAATTCTTCCTCCACAAGTTACACGTTTCGTAAAAGGTGATCAAAATGCCGGGAGGAGCAAGTGGCTAGTAACCCCTTCTTTTGTATACATTACTAAATTTAAAAAGAGAAGCTTTCGTTTTTCTTTTTAGGTCACCCTGCCTCAGAGGGAGACAACCAGTGGGTTAAAAGAAAGATTTGTAGAAAGGAATTCAATTTGGATTCGTTTTCATTTATTAAGGATATAGGGAAATCACTACTTTGGTAACAGAATTGTATATATACGTACATGGAAAAATTGCCAGTAACATTATAAAAAACATAATACGTTGGGTAGCTTCAAAAATACATGTATGTTTGACAAATATGAGTTAGAATAGTTGACTGAGAGCTGGGCATCCGTGTAGCATGGGCCAGTAGGCCTACTGCTAATGTTCTTCAATTCTTATGTTCTTAGAGGTAGTAATATTTTCCAACAGTGATATTATTATTGATCTGTTAAAAATGTAAATCACTAGATATTATATTATCACCTTTTTATCTATTAATATTCACCAACTTTAATAATCACCTAAACAGTGTTGGGCAGCTGAATGCTTTTATGCCAAATTATATTTATAAGGTATGAATGAACTCATCATTATGTCTGTATATTAATGTACTTCTCCATTGGGAAGTGAAGTACAGTGGACCCCCGGTTTACGATATTATTTCATTCCAGAAGTATGTTCAGGTGCCATTACTGAACAATTTGTTCCCATAAGGAATATTGTGAATTAGATTAGTCCATTTCAGACTCCCAAATATACACATACAAACGCACTTACATAAATACACTTACATAATTGGTCGCATTGGGAGCTGATCGTAAACCGGGGGTCCACTGTATTCCTCTGTAAGTCATGCTTGTCGTAAGAGGCGACTAAAATGCCGGGAGCAAGGTGCTAGTAACCCCTTCTGTATAAATTACTAAATGTAAAAAAGGAAAAACTTTAGCTTTTCTTTTTTTGGGTCACCTTGCCTTGGTGGGAGATGACCAATGTGTTCAAAAAATATGTATTTTATTGTTCTACTAGTCTAATAGTATTTTGAAAATGTTTCTTTGTATTTTGAAAGTTGCAGCACTTATATTCACAATACTGTAGAACCCGCGTATCCACGGATTCGGTTTCTGCGGTTTCAGGCATTCACGGTTTACCGTGGCCCGACAATAATCCTTAATTTTGACTTAGTAAGGACACCAAAGCACAGAAGTAGTGATGGTGTAGTTCTTCCCAAAACAAGAAGTAGGATGAGGTAGTTTCAAAGCCAAAGCACAGTAGTAGTGATGGTGGCAGTTCTACAAAGACTAAGAGAAGGCATAAAGTGCTGCCCATCAGTGAAAAACTGATAATTTTTTACTTATTGTTTATAATTTATCAATTAAACTTCATCAGTTGAAGCTTTATCATAGGTTTGTATGCAAACGAAAATACTGCATATAAGTGTTCGCTACTCTGAGTTTCGGGCATCACGGTAGGTCTTGGAATGTGCCCACGCGATACAGGGGGACTAAATGGGATTATATAGGAGATTTTGTCATGTACATTTAAGGGTAAATTGTTTAATGGAAAACTCTATTATGTACCTCATCTATCCTAAAAGAGTTATTTTAGACAACAAAGGTATATAATGGATTTAAGACTTCTCCAACATTTTGCTAGCTAAACAAATATAGTATTAATGAGCTTTAAAAACTTTTTGATTCAATAATAACAAGTTGTTCATCGGACTTAAGCCATTACATGGCAAGCAGAGCCGGGAGACTGTCTGCACTTCCTGATATTCATTGATACCTTGCAGGTTATTTCGGGGTCAACGCCCTAGCTGAACCAATCCATGACCAGGCATCGTGTGAATCAAGACACTGATCAACATAGGCACACACAATCCACAAATGAACACAGCTGCTTGTCAGGTGCCTGACCGCTCCATTAGTATAGTCCATGGTCATTGAAGACACCAAGGATCTAGGTTAATCCTTTATGATGTGCTGAATAATCTCATTTAAAAATATGGGTCAGCTTTTTTTGGTTAAAACTAATGTTCTGATAATAAATTTTATACAATTTCACTGTATTCTCATGTTTCACTATACAGAATTCTAAGTTTTCTGATGCTATCTATTAAGGCAGTATACCTTAATAATTTACAATTAGGCGTGTGACCTTAGATTAGTTCCTTAATCATTTAAAGTTTAGCATACCACCTTAGGCTAGTCACTTCCTCTACTTGCAGTGCTGTTCTGTGTTTTTTATACGTATATCCCGCAATGGCAGTTTTTGGAATGAAATATTTAATATTCAATGGGTTCGTACGAGGTTTTGGTCAATCTCGTAAAAAAGTCACACAATAATACTTTAAAATTAGTGTTGCTGCTCCTAAATATCATAGTGTATTATTACAGCCTCTCCTTACTTGACGACGGAGTTCCGTTCTTAAGATCACATGGGTAAAAGAATTTGTCGCTAAGCAAGGACCATACATTAATGGTAGTGGATTTGTGTCAACCATCTTTGATATTGTTTTAATGTCACCTTTGCACCATTTGTAACATTTTTAGTAGTATATTTTAAATGTTTATAGTGTACTGTTTTATTATTTTTTATTATCACACTGGCCGATTCCCACCAAGGCAGGGTGGCCCGAAAAAGAAAAACTTTCACCATCATTCACTCCATCACTGTCTTGCCAGAAGGGTGCTTTACACTACAGTTTTTAAACTGCAACATTAACACCCCTCCTTCAGAGTGCAGGCACTGTACTTCCCATCTCCAGGACTCAAGTCCGGCCTGCCGGTTTCCCTGAACCCCTTCATAAATGTTACTTTGCTCACACTCCAACAGCACGTCAAGTATTATAAACCATTTGTCTCCATTCACTCCTATCAAACACGCTCACGCATGACTGCTGGAAGTCCAAGCCCCTCGCACACAAAACTCCTTTACCCCTCTCTCCAACCTTTCCTAGGCCGACCCCTACCCCGCCTTCCTTCCACTACAGACTGATACACTCTTGAAGTCATTCTGTTTCGCTCCATTCTCTCTACATGTCCGAACACCTCAACAACCCTTCCTCAGCCCTCTGGACAACAGTTTGGTAATCCGCACCTCCTCCTAACTTCCAAACTACGAATTCTCTGCATTATATCACACCACACATTGCCCTCAGACATGACATCTCCACTGCCCCCAGCCTTCTCCTCACTGCAACATTCATCACCATGCTTCACACCCATATAAGAGGTTGGTAAAACTATACTCTCATACATTCCCCTCTTTGCCTCCAAGGACAAAGTTCTTTGTCTCCACAGACTCCTAAGTGCACCACTCACTCTTTTCCCCTCATCAATTCTATGATTCACCTCATTTTCATAGACCCATCCGCTGACACGTCCACTCCCAAATATCTGAATACATTCACCTCCTCCATACTCTCTCCCTCCAATCTGATATTCAATCTTTTTCATCACCTAATCTTTTTGTTATCCTCATAACCTTACTCTTTCCTGTATTCACCTTTAATTCTCTTCTTTTGCATACCCCACTAAATTCATCCACCAATCTCTGCAACTTCTCTTCAGAATCTCCTAAGAGCACAGTGTCATCAGCAAAGAGCAGCTGTGACAACTCCCACTTTGTGTGTGATTCTTTATCTTTTAACTCCACGCCTCTTGCCAAGACCCTCGCATTTATCTCTCTTACAACCCCATCTATAAATATATTAAACAACCACGGTGACATCACACATCCTTGTCTAAGGCCTACTTTTACTGGGAAAAAATTTCCCTCTTTCCTACATACTCTACTTGAGCCTCACTATCCTCGTAAAAACTCTCATTGCTTTCAGTAACCTACCTCCTACACATACACCTGCAACATCTGCCACATTGCCCCCCTATCCACCCTGTCATACGCCTTTTCCAAATCCATAAATGCCACAAAGACCTCTTTAGCCTTATCTAAATACTGTTCACTATATGTTTCACTGTAAACACTGGTCCACACACCCCCTACCTTTCCTAAAGCCTCCTTGTTCATCTGCTATCCTATTCTCCATCTTACTCTTAATTCTTTCAATAATAACTCTACCATACACTTTACCAGGTATACTCAACAGACTTATCCCCCTATAATTTTTGCACTCTCTTTTGTCCCCTTTGCCTTTATACAAAGGAACTATGCATGCTCTCTGCCAATCCCTAGGTACCTTACCCTCTTCCATACATTTATTAAATAATTGCACCAACCACTCCAAAACTATATCCCCACCTGCTTTTAACATTTCTGTTTCTATCTTTATCCCATCAATCCCGGCTGCCTTACCCCCTTTCATTTTACCTACTGCCTCACGAACTTCCCCCATAGTGTACTGTATATTGTAATAAAGAGAATAGAGGAAATGAGCTCTAATATACATTATTTAGGTATGCATACTGGTCAGAGAGCCTGTCGTAAGTCCGAGTCATCGGTAAACAAGTACGTCACTAAGTGAGAAGAGGCTGTATTACAATAAAAATTAAAAGCTAAATGATCAGTGGTCAGTGCTGAATGTTATAGCGTAGACATTACATTTTCTTCTAGTCACTTGTAAAAGTTTGAGAGAAACAACATGGACGAGACACTTGGGACACTTTTATTGAAAATGTTTGTAATGGGACCTTGTTTTTCCAGACACACAGCAGTATTCTATTACAGCCAAAATTTTGGTATAAATGAAGACAGAATACTGGTACGTTTAAATTTTTTGTATAAATAAAGTATAATTACCATTAATATTGTTTAAATCCTCTTCCAAATACGTACTGTATGTGCTTGTAGTCGAACCAAGTACCATTTATATGAACAAGTGCTAAACCAGAAGGGTGTCATGCAACACCTGGGGAATAGGAAGCAGTTAGATTTGATCCAGAGGAAGAGGATGGTATCACAAATTCCTTGGGTTAAGAGCCCTGACCAAGTACGTAAAGGAACCCCCTTGTAGGGTTACCTACTGACCGAAGATGAGAACTATGTAAGTACAAGTTACAAGTTTTCCCTAACTTTATGTGGGTTCGATACCCAAATAACCTGCACATACAAGAAACTGTATTTAAATTTAAACAAATTTCAATTTTTTTTTTTTGTAAAGTTTACAATGTGTGGATGACATATTACAAAATGTGAAACACAAAAGAAGCTACTGGCAGAAACATTGTCATATGTGCCTCATGGCATGGTGGTTAAAGCTCTCGCTTTACACAGCAAGGGTCCGGGTTCAATTCCCGGCGAGGGTAGAAACACTGGATGTGTTTCTTTACACTGGTTGTCCATGTTCCCCATCAGTAAAATGGATACCTGGGTGTTAGTCGACTGGTGTGGGTCACATCCTGGGACAAAACTGACCTGATAAATAATTATGTATACTAAGCAAATTAATAACTCACACAACAAATATATACACCATGAATAAGTTCATACCACGACTTGGCTTAATTTCTCCCAGAAAATGCAATTGTAGCAGCAGTTATGATTAATTAAAAGTGTGATAATTTTAGCTAAAAAATGAATTAAGTCAGAAAATGCCTCAAACTACTCTGAAATGTTGAAATATAATTCCTAAGTGTTTAAATTGCTTTTTTACTGAAACCTGCATACAGGTGGGCCCTGGTTGTATGACTCTAAGGTTTGCAACCCCCAAATTATAAGTGAAAATTACCCATGGGTGGAAAAGTCGTTTTTTCATTATCGAATACGTCTAAAAAGCCTGATAATGTGTTTACACTATCATATATTAAGTGCTGAGTACAGCCAGGCATAAAAAAAAGATAAAAAAGCACAGTAAATACAAAGTACATACAATACCTACCTTAAAATACGGCGCTGGTCGTCCTTCCCTTACACAATTGTTGTACAAAAGCAGCAGAAGAGTGGTAAAAGCACCGAACATAATAAAAAATAACTCAATTGAAAGCCAACGAAAATGTGGAACACCGAAAAGGGAAGCTGTATACATGGAGTCTTCCTGTAATGATAATAGTTTTGCTACAAAACTTAAAATATTTACACTTTTTAAATGAAAAAATCCATAAAAGAAATTTCTTGAAGAGATAAATTTTAAGGGTAGTGTTCCCTAATTGATTTACTTGTCTTATAAGGTAAAACCCCCTCAAGGAAGGCTCCTTGACGCTGGTGAGGGGCTCTTGATCTAGGGAATTGGATCTGTGCTCCAGTTCCCTGAA